ACGGATAAACTGGGAGTTTGGCGGTCACATACATGAACACTACTATATTTAAAAAAAATAAGCAGCAAGGACCTACTGTATAGCACAGGGAACTCCACTCGATATTCTGCAATAACCTAGATGGGAAAAGAATTTGAAAAAGAATACGTGTCTGTACATGTATAACTGAATCACTTTGCTGTACACCTGAAACACAACATTGTATATCAACTATACTCCAATAAAATTTTTAAAAATAAAAAAGAAATAAAAATTAACGCCAATATTTCCCAAACTCTTCCAAAAAAAATCAAAGAGGAGGGAACACTCTCAAACTCATTTTACGAGGCCAACATTACCCTGGTACCAAAGCCAGAAAAAGACACCACCAATAAAGAAAATTACAGGCCAATATACCTGATAAATATAGATTCAAAATTCTCAATAAAATACTATCAAACTCAACTCAGCAGCACATTAAAAAGACCATTCACCATGATCAAGTGGGATTTACCTTGAGACGTAGGGATGTTTCAGCACATCCACATTGATCAGTGTGATACCTCACATTAATAGAATGAAAAATAAAAATCATATGATCAACTCAATAGATGCAGAAAAAACATTTGATGAAATTCAAAATCTGTTCATGATTTTTAAAAAAACTCTTAACACATTAGGTATTGAAAGAATTTACCTCAACTTAGTAACAATACATAACACGGTAATAATGTTGACACGCCAACAGCTAATATAATAATAAAGGTTGAAAGGTTGAACGCTTTCCTCTAAAATTAGAAATAAGACAAGAGTGTCCACCCCCACCACTTCTATTCAACATAGTACTGGATGGTTTAGCCAGAGCAATCAGGCAAGGAAAACAAATAAAATGCATCAGAATTTTAAAGGAAAAAGTAAAATTGTCTCTATTTGCAGAAGACATGATTTTATATCTAAAAAAATTCCTAAAGACTCCGCCAAAAAACTTACCATATAATCAATAAATTCCATAAAGTTGTAGAATTCAAATTTAACATGCAAAAATCAGTAGCCTTTCTATACACTAACAAAGAATTATCTGAAAATGAAGCAAAGAAAATGATCCCACTTACAATAGCATCAAAAACATTAAAATACTTAGGAAAAAATGCAGCCAAGCAGGCAAAAGATCTCTACACTGAAAACTATGAGACACTGATGAACAAAATCAAAGATGACATAAATAAATGGAAAGAGACTCCTCGTTCATAGACTCGAAGAATTAATATTGTTAAAATTTCCATACTACCCAAAGCCATCCATACGTTTCATGCAATCCATACCAAGAGTCCAATGGCATTTTTTTACAGAAACAGAAGCAACAATCCTAAAATTTAGATGGACCCAAAAAGGACCCTGAATAGTCAAAGCAATCCTGAAAAAGAACAAACCAGGAGGCGTCACACTTCCTGAATTCAAGCTATGTTGTAAAGCTACTGTCATCAAAATAGTACAGTGCTGGCATAAAAAGAGACACCTCAACCACTGAAACAGAATCAAGAACCCAGAAATAAACCCAAATATATACGGTCAGGTAATATTTGACAAGGGAGGCAACAATACTCGGTGGAGAAAAGACGGTCTCGTCAATAACTGTGGCTGGGAAAAGTGCATCTTCACATGTAAGAGAATGAAATGAGACCCCTATCTTACACCACTCACAGCAATTAACTGGAAATAGACTAAAGACTTTAATGTAAACCCAGAAACCATAAAACTGCTGGAAGAAGACATAGGTAAAAAGCTCCTTAACGTGGGTATTGGCGATGAATTTTTTGTACGTGACACCTAAAGCGCAAGCCAACAAAATTAAAGAAATAAATAAGTGGGATTACATCAAACTAAAAAGCTGCTTAGCAACAGAAACAACCAACAAAATGAAAAGACAACCTATGGGATGGGAAAAAATACTTGCAAACCACATATCTGATACGGGGTTAATATCCAAAATATGTAAAGAACCCATACAACTCTCAATAGCAAACAAACAATCCAACTAAACAATGGGCAAGGGACTGGAATAGACATTTTTCCAAAGAAGATACATGAATGACCAACAGGTACGTGAAAAGCTGTTCAACAGCATCAGGACAATGCAAATCAAAACCACGTGCGATACCACCTCACACCTGTTAGAATGGCTAGCATCAAAAAGACAAGAGATGACGACTGCCACCATGCATGTGGAGAAAAGGGAACCCTTATGCACTGATGGTGAAATTACGAATTGGTACAGCCACTATGGAAAACAGTACGGAGATTCCTCAAAAAAATTAACAACCATATGATCCAGCAATTCCACTTCTGGGAATACATCAGAAGGAAGTGAAAACACTATGTTGAAGAGATATCTGTCCCTACCCCACGCCCCATGTTCAGAGCAGCATTATTTGCAATAGCAAAGACACGGAAACAACCTAAATGTTATCCTTTCATCTGCAGATGGACAAAGACACGGGATACGTATATACAACGGAATATTATTCAGCCATAAAGAAGGAGGGAATCCTGCCATTTGTGACAACATGAATAGACCTTGAGGGCACTGTGCTAAGTGAAATCAGTCAGAGAAAGACAAATACTGTATCATCTTACCTGTATATGGAATCAAAACAAAATAACTCACAGAGAAAGAGATTAGATTTGTGGTTACCAGACGTGGGGCATGTGGGGAGAGGAAACTGGATGAAGACCGTCACAAAGTGAAAACTTCCAGCTTTAAGATAAATAAGTACTGGGGATGTAATATACAACATGATGAATATAATTAACACTGCTCTATAGTATACATGCAAGTTGTTCAGAGTAAATCCTAAGTGTTCTCATCACGAGGAAAAACATTTTCTTTTCCTTCTATCTATATGTGATGATTGATGCTAACTCATACTGGTAATCACTCCATGATGTATGTAAGTCAAACCATTCTGCTGTACATCTACACCTTACCAGTGCTACATGTCAATTATATCTCAGTCAAACTGGAAGAGAAACCATATAGCAGACTTACGCATTTGAAGGACACTCTGGCTCCCTCAGCCATTTTTGTAACCAATCCTTGCCCTAGAGGATGTACAATAAGATAGGGCACCTTTATGTAAATATAGTGTAAGCACCGGACAGTTGGGTTCTGTCTTCTTTTGTTTTGTTTTAGTAATGCAAGTGCCTGACCTTAAGCTTCGGATTGCCTAGGCACCCACTTCAAAGACAGCTATCTTGAATAAACACACTGCCGGCTACAGGACTAGAGGAAGAGCCAGGCGGCCGGGCCCCAGAAGTCTCCTTTGTTTTGGAGATCTCTGGTCGACTTAGATAACTCACCATTTGACCACTTGTTTTTCCCTTCCCGAGTTTTAATTCCCACCCTTATGTTTTAAATTCGCCAAACAAAGAGTGAACCTGTGAAACCCTAGGCACCCCATCCTAGACTCCAATAAAGACAGAACCCCAGGCCCACTACCTTTCTGCCGCAACCTCGCTGAGTGGCCCCAGGTGTACCATGTATCCTTCAGGATTCGTGAGTAATAATCCTCGGTTTTCTTTTTTTTTTTTTTTTCGAAGTTCCCTGACGGTTGTTGCCATCATAAGAACCACAAGGGCGGGTCCAATCACAACACTGGCTCTGAAAGGGGAAATGCCTGTGAGGGCTCACCTCAGGCCCAGGTGAGTGCCCCTAGGCATTTCTAGCCAATAGACCACTATTGATAGGTTGAGACCAGCACAAAACAATTGGCCTTGTTGGCAGGATTGCATGATTGCCTGTGCAGTTAATCAAGAGGAATACCCGTTAGCTGCGACTGGCTTGCTAGCTGACCAACCCAGGTGGGTAACACCACCTGGGAACGGAACACCGCTTGCTGGAGGTCTGCCATGCTGCTACGTGCTTTTGCATATTGCCTCTGTCGTGTGTTGCCTGCGGTACCCACGCCAAAATGTCACTGCTGCCATAATAATTCAATGATCTCCCCAGAGCAGCCGTGATCGAGGCCATACGGTCTAATGAGACAGTCAGACCACTAATTTAAAAGGCCTTAATTGACCATTAATGTACATGAGGGTCCTCCGTGCCTCCTGCTGTGCAAAATTGGCACGATCCAATGGCTTTGTCATTTCCATCACCACAGTGACCCAAATGACTCCCTGAATTTCCAACCCTGAATAGGCCCCATCTGACCCTAAGTCCAGAGAATTCTTCTCTACAAGGCGCCCCCCTAATTACAGGGCAGCGCTACTACCTTTCGGGGGGATTCCTGAAACCATCCATCAGGCAACTGGAGGGCACTGACATGGCGGCTAGACACAGAGGAGATTGCTGCCCAGATGCCCCAATACGTCACACTCAAGGCCCTCCGGCACCACTGCTCCAGGAAGGTCTCCCTCGAACAAATTTCCCTCAATGGGAAGGGTTCCCCACTCCCTTCCTAATAAACCTCTGATTTAATTTGTCCCTTATGGGAATTCACAGGCGAAACCTCTACTGGGAGTTAGGAAAACCTGGGGTTCCTGGCTACTTGCCCTCTGGACAGCCACTCTCTAAACTCCAGGCCCCGAAACTCACATTCTCCCAGCTACGGCCCTATTGTGCCGTCCATCTTCTAGCCCCAAGCCCGTCCCCGCTACCCCCTCTGCCCGCTTCCCTAACCTACAGGACTGGCAGCCACTTCAGCTCCTACCCTAGGAAATCAGCCGCTCCCAGGGGCTTGTCCCACCACCTGGGGACAATTGCCCCTGTACCACTCTGGTGGTCCAGTAGGACAATCAAAATGCACAGTCCTTTTTGGCCCTACTAGACAGGGGGACCCAAGTCACTGTCATTCTAGGCAATCCCTCTGTATCCCCAAAAGGGAAGCCCTTCTACCTACGGGGCACTGCTGGTAAAACAATCAAAGCTTCACAAAGCTATTCGGATATCACTATTGGGACCCTTCACCTCAAATGGCTTCCTCTGGTGGTGGCCCCCCAGCTTGTTCTTTCCTATTAGAGGCATGGAGGTACTGACACAACACCGTGCCACACGGAATGAGCCCAAGTTCTTGGCCTTGCTGGTGGGACTCTCCAAATGGACGCCAGGGACTCTTCCTCCCCTAGTCAAGACGGTAAACATTCCCCAGTAGGGACTTAAACAGGCCACTGAAGGCCTACGCCTACGTCATTAAAGATATGCTTGAGACTGGAGTCATGAAGCCACCATCTCCCTGTTCAGTAGCCCCATTTGGCCAGTTCTTAAGGCAGCCACCAACCAAAGGCACCTGACCGTTGGCCATCAAAACCTCAGTGGCTCACGTTCCCCAGTAAGGCTCCAATTCCTAAAAATATAGAACTGACTGAGGATGTCCAGTCGGCCCAAGGAGCGTCCTCTGTGTTCACTGACCTACCAACAATCTTCTATTCCGTTCCCATCTTGGAGGAATCCCAGGCTCCGTTTGCTTTCACTTTTGAAGGGGGCAGATTATACATTTACGTGCTTCCCAGTGGGATATTTAAATGGCCCTGCGACCGCACATAACCTCTGCCACCAGGACTTAAGCACCTTACAGTTGGAAAGGTGCCGATTTTGGCATTACACTGATGACATTATGCTCAGGGGCTCCTCTGAAAAGCAGTACGAGCAGATTCGCATCCCTTCGCACACCACCTGGACCTCGAGAGCCAAGGCCCGGCCTCATCTGTCTTGTTTCTGGGCATCATCTAGTCCTCTAAGGGCTGAGAAATTTCCCCAACAGCCAAACATCAATTACTCACCATTAAACCACCCACTACACTCAGACAAGCACAACACATATCAGGCCTTTTCATGTTCTGGAGGCAACACATCCCTCATCTCGCCCTATCGTATACGCAATCACACACAAGTCACCCACCTTCCACTGGGGCAAAGCCCAAACAAGTGTGCTTCGCAAGGTGCCCAGCACGCAGTCCAGCAAGTCTTACCTTTAGTCCCCACTGGCTCCACATTCCATGTCAAGGGGCCTCCTGGAGTCTCGGGACCAAACAGGAGTCTACCTGGCTTCCTATGGGGTTGTGGACTAAGCACCTACCCCAGCGGCAGGCCCGTATACTCCCCCTGGGCACCAGCTTTTGGCAGCCTCTCGGGCTCTTTTAGGAACTGAGCCCCTAGCCAGCCCCCACCTGGTATTACTCTGAACACAAGTTCCTCAAGCGCCCTGGGTTACAGATGCCTCTTAAGAGAAAAGCTCAGCACGGCCACTGATGCCTCCTTGGTAACAGGGAAATGGTACCTTCAGGGGAGGGCTAAACCTGATGCCAAAGGCCTTTCCAAATGACAGGAGGATGTGGTTTCCCCCACACTCAGCCCCTTGCCGGAGAGCCTCGAGAAGTGACAGCCCCCATCCCCACCCCACCCCACTGTCTCCTCCTGTGGCTACTTGGGGAGCCCCTTGGGACCAACTGTCTGAAATGGACAGGGAGTCAGTGCTCTTCACCAAGGGCAGTGCCATCACTGCATGCCATGCAGCTCGCTGGAGGGCTGCGTCAGCCACCCGGCCTCGGGCCCCGTTCTAGTCGAGGAGGACACGCCTGGCTCAGCCCAACTGGCAGAACCTGTAGCTGTTCACCCAGCCCTTAAGGAGGCCACAAAAAGGGGCCTTTCACAGCCTCCTGGCCTGTTGCTAACAGCCTTGCAGTTGGGTCTGGCCAATGGCTAAGGGACAATTTTCTCATACAAGGCAAGGCCATCTGGGGCTCCAAGATACGCAAGGAACTAGGAGAATCCCCCATCCCTATCATCAATTCTCACGTTTCTGCTCACGCTAACCGCTCCACACCTGAGGCCATTTTTAGGAATACTGCGGTCAGACCCCCTCACTCAGCCCTCCACTCTCTGCCCTGGAGATGCCTCAGGGTACCGAGCCTTGTCTCCAGCTTGCGGAATGGACCCGCACAACCTCAGGTCATCGGGGAATTCGTGCCTTAACAACTCGTGCTCACGCGAGGGGACGCCCCCCTCCTCAGCGGCAGCCAAGGTGGTGACAGATGAGCGCGTTCTCTGCGCCCAAACCGAACAACGGGGACCCACTCCCCCGGGGAGACCGACCATACTCCCGCTCTGCTGGGGCTTCCAGAGGCCCCATCACCATCACTGAGACTTCACACGAGGCTTCCCTTGGTGAACTCCACCCACAATTCCTCCTCAAAACAGGTAATCTCTTTCCTTACTACCTTCAGTGCTGTTCCCTTCAGATCGCCAAACACTGCTGACTCTGGCCACGGCTCCCACCCTACCTCTCAGCAGGTTCAACAGTGGGCTCTCCCACCCAACACTCTTCCAAACTTCCACCTAGGACCCCGCCCCCAGGCGGCTGGCCTCATCCAGCATCTTAATGAGCTCCTTACAGAGACACTGCTTCAATTATTTTCCAGCAGGTGCTTCTCGAAATGGATGGAACTCTTGCCGCAGGCCCTCATCTTGCTTAATTCTCAGCCCCTGAGCCTTCATACCCCTCATACCAATTATGACACGATTATCACACACCCTCCAAAATGCCACTTCGGGTCATTTCTGGCAGCTCTCAAGCTTTCACACTCTAGCACGACGCCCTTCAAATTTTCACCTCTGACTCCACCTCCCTATGCTGCTATGGTTTTCTTTTTAATCATCTGACCATCTGCTTCCCTCTGATATAGCCTGATCGAGGGCACAGAGTCCAATATGGTCCCCTCACCACTGAAGGCCCCACAGGCCACAAGCCCACCAAGTCAGTGCGAGATCATCTCTTTGGAAATCCGGCCACCGGTGACGACTCTCCAAAAGCAGCCGCCTCCACAGCGGCCGCTCTCACCAAATACAGTGGCTACAAGGGCTGGCTGATGAAACCGAACGCCCCAGCTAATGTAGGGCAAGTAGAAGTCATCGCCCCGGGACCAACCAGTGGCGCACTTTGGGTGTCTGAAAGAGGGAAAGGAACTCTGCTTGGTGGACGCGGGCCACGTTTGGGGATGAGAACATGCCGAGCAAGCTACAAGTCGTGGCCTGACCCCACGCCAGACAAGGCGACCCAGTACTTTCCCCCATCAAGCAACCGCGCTCAGCCATTAAGCAATACACACACGGCTCATCCAGAAGGAAGCTGACCCACGCTCATTCAAACGTCAGCGCTCCATCTGGTGATGGCTCTTCTTACTGCTTTGTACCGCCTGGGTGACAGGGTTACTGGTAGAGCCCTTGGGCCTAACCCTCACCCAGATAGAATGCTGTAAAGACACTGCTGCGGCCCACAGTAGCACCACAGGGTGGAAAAGCAGGGAATGTTGGCGAGCCCTGTTGGAAGGGCTCAGGATAGTGTGCCACTGAGTCTGAGCGGCAAGGGGCCCGCATCCCTTTACAGGCAAGGGGCCCTCTGGAAGCAATGTCTAAATGACACTTGTCCAATTTCAACATCAAACAGTGCAACAAGCTAACTGGCCCTATGACTGCTCGTACGTAACACCCACCTGGGTACAGGGAGTGTGCTCCCAGGATTTGTCCGCTGATTGCCCTCACGGGTAGAGCCCAGGAATGCCTAAGTAGCATCCATAAGATCTCCCGTAGCCTGGGATATAAATGTGCCCAGGATCTTTATGTGCTTGGATGAGCTCCTCCGGGAAGGAAAGGACAGCAACCCACTCTGTTGCTAAATGTGCCCTTGATGACCCCAGAGAGCTCTTAGTAACAATTTGTTCCACTAGCAGCAGGCACCAGATGTGCAGCTCGGTCCTCGGGGAAGCCTCTAAGTTATATCAGGCTAGCCTATGCCCAGCCCATGATCAACACCCCAACTGCACAGCCACATGGGAGGATGCACCCACCCCTGGGTGGCCACCACTCCAGAGGACCTCACCCCTGAGTGAGACAGACTCACTGCTGGAGAGGATACCATTCCAGACAATACCGCCCCAGCCCAAGAGTTCACCACTAGAGATGACTATGCGTCCTATACCAGAGATGACACCCCAGGGCCATGGCACCAGTTGGAGACCTAGCTGCTCGCCCAGATGGCCCGACTTCCCAGTTTATATTGCGGAACGCTGCCATGGAGACTAAGACTCTCCAGAAACAGTGGAGTAAACGCATTGCCCCGATGGCATCGGGGGATGACCTACTATGATATGATTTTGCAGAACTTGCTGGCTGACCCTACCCTATACCAAGAGGCTCGCCAGACTGTGAGTCTGTCCCCCGCCGACAGCAGGACAGCACTGTATCCTATTTCCCCACGGAAGCAGGCCATAACGTGCGCTCCAAAACAGACAGCTCCCGCCTACAAATGACTGAAGGTTGTTAACCTCCTCACCACTAACTCAGATGCTTCAGCATCACAGGGGGGATTCTACTGTAAGCAGCTGAGTTAGTATTTTTTTTTAATTTTTTTTATTGTAATGCAAGTGCCTGGGCTTAAGCTTCGGATTACCTAGGCACCCACGTCAAAGACAGCTATCTTGAATAAACACACTGCCTGCTACAAGACTAGAGGAAGAGTCAGGCGGCCCCGCCCCAGAAGCTTCTTTTGTTTCGGAGATCTCCGGTCGACTTAGGGAACTGACCATCTGACCACTTGTTTTTCCCTTCTGGCATTTTAATTCCCGCTCATGTTTTAAATTCACCAATAAAGACTGAACCTGTGAAACCCTAGGCATCCCATGCTAGACCCCAATAAAAGAAGCCCAGGCCTGCCCACATACTCTTTCTACCCGTGACCTCGCTGTGTGGCTCCACGCATGCCACGTATCCTCCAGGACCTGTGAGGAGTAAACCATGTTTTTTTCCCCAAAGTTGATGGCTGTTACTGAAGTGTGTCTTGCAATCATAATAAGAACCGCAAGGTGGCGGCGGCGGGCGGATGGGGGGAGGGCGGGTCCAATCACAATACTGGCTCCCAAAGGGGAAATGTCTGTGAGGGCTGCCTCAAGCACTATGGCCCAGGTGAGTGCCCCAGGCATTTCTGGACGACAGCATCACTACTGAGAGGCTGAGCCCACCCCCAAGACTTCTGTTGTTTACCTTCCTCCTGGGGCGGTTCTTCCTCACCCCTCCTTGGGTCAAATGGATCCTTTGATAAGCAGTCAGTAATCACAGGACCACAGCTAGACTACAACTCTCCACGAGAGAGTCACAGTCTCTGGCCACACGTGACAGAGGAATCTTTTGAACTCCTTCTGCATTAAGAAGTACAACTGAGGTATTGGATTTTTGAACAACACGTGCTCGATCATAAAGTAACGGTCAGGAAAGCACTGAGGACCAGGGATGATCCCCATTGCTCTTTGCGCTCGTGTCTCCAAGAAATGGGTCTGAGTCCGTCGCTGGCCACTAAGTGCAGAACATGGGTGGTTTTCGGACATATCAGCCCCACCCCTCCCCCCAGATTAAAACATCAGGTGTGAAGATTTACCGTCCACATTTGAGAAGTGTGGTTTAGTTACGCCAAAGAGGGACACAGAACCAGTAAGCCATCTGGGGGGATTTACGTGCATCAGACTGCGGAGAGAGGGAGAGGCGTGGTGATCTTCACAAGACCTCACCAAGTACAGTCTGGTTGGAAAGAAGCATACACACGTGTCAATGGTTATTTGGAGAATCGACCAAGGGACAGGAGTTTGGGAGAGAGGTGCTAAATAATTCTCTACAAAACTGATTTTAGTCTACCTGGAAAGGCAAGCCAAGTCTCTGTTCTAACCCTAGGATGAAATATTGATCACCCCCATTGAAAGAGGACGAGAGATCACAAACTTCAGAGGAAATGTCACCTATCAATTAGACCAGCAGAATGTAAATCAAGAACAACCCAGCTGGCGGGGCTGGCCAGGAGGCACATGACAGGAGTGATGCCCAACTTCAACGCCCTCGTCCCGGCCATGGTCAGGGGCTTGGCGGCCTGCTGAGGAAAAGTTTTGTTCCATCTCAAACTGTGGTCCTTCACAAATTTTTAAAAGTTTACTTCAACTTCTTTCCTAGTAGAAGCTGAGCGAGAAGAGACTGTCCTGTATGGCTGGGTACGGGAAACCTGGCCTTGCTGAAGGTTAGGACTGTGCCGAGAAGGGGGGGCAGGCGGGTAACTGAGCTGCTGCAGAATCACAACAGCTGTGTGTCTGCACCTCTTCGTTCTCTCATTATGTAGACCTGGGAGAGGCCTCAAGAAACCACATGACAGTGTCCTGTGTATACCCCATTTTATTGACTGAGGTCACCAGGGGTGTAGCTGAGAGTCAGATCTGACTTTACTCCAGTTTCCACATCATCTTGCACAAGAAGTTTATATCGCAGACTTCAGTCTCCTCGTGTGGGAGATGATAAAAACATATCCTCCCTCACAGAATCGCGAGGATTAGTGAGAAGGCAGGGAATCACCGGGTCTGGTGAGGACTCATCAAGTCTTTCACTGGGAATGGCGCCCTGGTCCCCTTGGTTAGCCGGTGCTCACTGCGGCCAGGCTCCCGAACCCTGGCCTTCATGGAGAGCGCTGCCAGGCAACCCTGCCCCAGGGCCTCCCGAGGCTGCGTTTGGGAGCTGAAGCCATTTTGCACCCCGACAGATGTCTCAAACTGGTTGTCCCAGGCCTTTCTGAGCCCACTGCTGTTGCTCCTTTCTCTCTCTCTCTCCTCTTTTCCAAAGGCGAACAACTAACTGGTCAGGGAATGAGGTGCTAAGCGCCCGGCGTGCTGTGTGGTGGAGAGGACACACACAGGTCTGGGACTCCCTCCAGTCTACAACCCTCACACTCCAATCGGGAAGGCTAACTGGTACAATCCCTGGACCATCTCCCTAGCTCCGCTGCCAGCTCTGGACCAGTATCCTCCTCTTCGGGGGAGCTGCCCCACACAAACACATCCTCCGGTTATGTGGTTCCGGGGGCGCCCCCCGTTCCTACATGACCCACATCTCCCTCACCACAGCTGACTGGTTCAGGGGTCAGCCAGTCCCAGTCCCACCCCTTATGCCTCCTGTTGTCGGCTTAAGGCCGGCCACCTGAGGACCAGCCTGGGTTTGTTCCCCAGCACTGAGGGAAATGGAAAAACTTACTCCTTGTGCTTCATGGGTCTTTGAGGGATTTTTCATTCCACTCTCCATGAGGGAAAAAGGGAGCAGGACTGATATATATTATCGATGAATTTAGCAAAAGAAATAAGAGCATGATGGCTTGGCTCTATCTAGACTTTTTAACTTTTGGATCTGCATTTCCACCAAGAGGAAATGCTATAAGCTTACAATGGCTTATAACCCGTAGTCATCCAGAACTTCCTTTGGGTAACTAGTCAGGGTAGGCTAACTGCTGTCACAAATATCCCAAGTCTTGCTGGCCTATGACAGTACATTTTTATTTGTTCTTACCAAGGTCCAGTGCACAGTGGTGGTGCAGGCGATGGGGTGATAGTCTCATGTCATTCAAAGGCTCAGGAAGGGAACCCATATGAGAGCAGGTTTGAGGTAACCGCAGACCCGCTCAGCAGAAGAGGAAGAAACAAAAGAGAACGACACAATCTATTACAGAAGAGATACACGAAAGTCTTCTAATGTCAGTCAGAAAATGCCAAGCTTTTGGCACTTGGGATGGTCCCTATCTTACCTACAAGCTCCACACTATGTACCCCAAATAGAAAAGACTCCCTAACTGACACACTGAGCCCCTCCATTCAGAGCAGAAGACTGGTAGTGAAATGGGCGTCCCAACTGTAGATCAGATCCATGCTAGTTACCTTGGCTGATCACACGACTCCTCTACTCCCGAATACGAAGGGACAAATGTTTGCCAGATATCTGAGGAAAGTGAAAGAGAAGATCATGATGAACAAACACAACTATTTCTGGAGAAAAAAACAACTACAATACAGGAAACGGAAGAGAACAGTACCAAAACTTACAAATTCACATTCTCAGAATTTTAAGGAAGACAATGGGTTTTTAAAATGAGAACAGGGTGCCAAAAGAGGGCGCAATTGGAGAACAAGAGAAAGCCCTTGGAAACCGAAATATTTTTGCAAAGTTAAAAACGTAATAGATACCAGGTGCGCAGGTCAAAGTCACCCTGCCTCACCCAGGCTGTGATGGAACGTGGGTGCAGCGTTCGTGCCCCGCCAACGCCACGCGACCCCTTCCGATAACAGAACCGCGAGCCCACCGCCTGACTCCCATAACGAACCCCATTTCCGGTCCATCCCAGAGCGGCCGCCCTCTTCGCTCCGAGGCAGCTACCGCAGGCCCCGCGGCTTCACCTTCACCTCGGCCTTCACGCCCGCCACGATGCCCGTGCTGTCGCAGGTGCGCCAGAACTACCACCCCGACTGCGAGGCCGCCATCAACAGCCATTTCACCCTGCAGTTCTACGCCTCCTTCGTGTGCCTGTCCGCAGCCGTTTACCTCTGCCGCGACGACGTGGCCTTGAAGCACTTCGCCTGGTTCTTCGTGCGCCGCTCCCTCGAGCACAGCAGGTGGGCCCGGGGCCTGAAGCGCCTGCAGAACCAGCGCGGGGGCCGCCTCAGCTTCCAAGACATCAGGAAGCCAGTCAGTGACGAGTGGAAGAGCGGCCTCAAGGCCATGAAGTGCGCCTTGTTCCTGGAGAAGCTCGTGAACCACAGCCTGCTCCACCTGCACCAGCTGGCCACCGACAAGAGCGACCCCCACCTGCACCGCTTCCTGGCAACTCACCACCGCAGCCAGCAGGTGGCGTTCATCAGCGAGCTGGAGGGTCACGTCACCACCCTGAGCATGATGGGGGCCCCGGACGTCGACCTGGCAGGGTCCCTCTTTGACAAGCTCACCCTGGGCGACAGCGACAAGAACTGAGCCTGGACTGGACTTCCCCAGAGCCACGGGGTGACCAGAGCGCTGGTCACCGTGCCTGCCATGCAGACGGCAATAGTGCCCTTGCAGAAGTTCACTTAAGTTTTTTTCTTCCAGTTTTGCCACTCCTTGCAATAAAGTTATTTGGTTCCTAAAGAAATAAAGGTCTCTCCTTGGTTCCTGTGTGCAGATCGCTCACTTTTTAAAACAGGTATCCAGGAGGCTCTCCACCCACCCATGCCCCACCCTCATGCAGCTCAGGATCTCCACAGAGGGAGGGAGAAGGCACTCCATGGGGCCCTGGAAAGTGCAAAATCCATCTTCCCCTTATAAACAATGTGGGTACATGGGGGGTGGTGAGGTGAGGCCCTGCTGAATGCGGGTGCCTGCGAATAGCAGGAGTATAAAAACACGGTATAAAAATCACAGTAGTGTTGCTTCTGGAGGAAGAATGAAGGGAATGGGATGGGACAGGGATTAAAATAAAGGGTCCTTAAAACTTTACCTGAAAACTCTGAGTTTACTAAAATGTGTAAATGTTAGTGTTTGTTGATTCTGGGAAGCAAGATGGAGACCCCAGAAGCCAGCTGGGCAGGGTCCCTCTTTGACAAGCTCATCCTGAGCAACAGTGATAATGGTAACTGAGCCTCAGGCTGGCCTGCACACAAACACAGGGGTGACTCCCTAGTCACCATGCTGGACATGCATATTGCCCTTACAACACATGTAAACGTAGGTTTTTCTTACTGTACTCTTTCTTCCATTAGGGTAACATGGTACCCCAAACCCCAAATTACCTCAATAGAAGGACTGAAAAATATAAGGTCCAGGCTGAAGGTCAATTTGTGATATTGAATATCAAGTAGAATAAAGCTCTCTGAATGTTAAGCCAAGTTACTGTGACTCTGGCTGCTTTGAATAATGTAGAGAATGAGGAGAGTTGAAGCTGAAAGACCAGTTAAGAGATAATTGCAGCAGGCCCAGAGAGACAATGGTGGCTTGACCTGCGGTGTTGGTAGAGGAAATGAAGAGATGCAGACAAATTGCAGATGAACTGGATGAGTCTACAGGATCTGCCTTATGGACCAGAGGTGAGGAACGGGAAAGGATGGAAATAATCTAGGCTCAAGTTTGGATTTGAACACCCTGGCTGATGGTCATGCTATTTATTAAGCTGGGGGTATTTGCAGGGGGACTCGAGGAGCTGGGAGGGCATGTCATGTAAAATCCGAGATGCCTATTAGATACCCAAGTGGAACTGTCATGCAGGTAGCCAGAAAAATGAATCTGGAGCTCGGTGGGGGGGGGATGTCAGGTTTGGACAAATACATATGGGACGTATTAGTCTATATATACATAGAGGGGTTGAGGTCATGGAGTAGATAAGCTCACCAGAAAGGAAGTAGAGAGATGATGGCACAGGCGGCCCCAAACCCAGAGCAGCCAACACTCAGAGGATGGGATGAGACACTGGAACACCTAGAGAGCTGCTGGTCCCACTTGGACCATTGCCTCATTCCAGACTGTGGCCACCTGTGTCTGCTCAGAGTTTATCTCAAAATCAGCCTGTTCTTCATCTCAGTGTGGTCTCTGGTTTCTCCTCTCTAGATGTGGAGAGGCGTTAGCCTATTACCTTGTCTTCTTGACTATAGGTAGAAAGACAATTATTTCCCAGTAAAAGGATTTCCCGAGGAAACGACAGACCTGCTTTTCTATGTCTGGTTTTTGTTTTTCTTTCCGTTCCCCTTTTAAAACTCTTCCCCTCTCTCAGTCCATTCTCTATTTGAGCAGATGAAATCTGTTCCCATGTAAACCCTAAGGCTGTCTAGGTCTGAGAAAAAATACTCAAAGCATATTATTTCTTCCGTGTCGTGTAGAGTTTACAAAGGTCAGAGTTAGAAATTTTCAGACGTCGTATCCTATATTCAAAGACACATGAGTAGCTTGAGTCATTTTAGAGTTAACTAGATTGCTTTTAACATTTACTGAAATATGAACAAGTTTAGCTAAGGAGTAATTTCCTTCTGCATTTCCCTATATCTGTGCTTCAATACTTTCTTAAAAATGAGGATTATGGTCCTTTGAGTTCACTTTCCAGAAAATGGCGTTGAATGGTATTTCCCCCTTGACTCTTTTTAGTCAAACTCGTTTTTTTCACTCTTTCTCTGTCTGCTTTGAGGTCCCTGCTCTGTCTCTGATACAGTCTCAATACACACACACACACACACACACACACACACACATATATAAACTGCTCTCCTCTAGACGTGAGGACGCACAGGCTGCGCAGCTGTGTATGAGTGTTCACAGCTATAAATTGACTGAAGATCCTTCTCACTCTCCTGTCGTGGAGAAACAGTTCGGTGTCTTGGATCCTTCACCACAGCTTGACTGGATTCAAATCCCAGTTTAGCCACTTACTAAACTGCGGGGGACTTGGGCATGCTATTACACTTCTCTGCACCTCAGTTTCCTCATACGTAAAACAGGGATAATAAAAGTGTCAACCCCGTTGGAGAAAATATTTGCAAATGACGCGACTGACAAGGGCTTAATATTGAAAATATACAAACAGCTCATGCAAGTCAGTAACAAAAACAACAAACAACCCTATCAAGAAATGGGCAGAAGACATTTCTCCAAAGAAGACATACAGATGGCCAAGAAGCACATGAAAAGATGCTCAACATCACTAATTCTTAGAGAAATGCAAATCAAAGGTACAGTGAGGTACCACCTCCCACCAGTTAGAATGGGCATCATCAGACAATCTACAAAGAACAAATGCTGGAGAGGGTGCGGGGAAAAGGGAACACTCCTACACTGTTGGTGGGAATGCAAATTGATGCAGCCACTGTGGAGAACAGTCTGGAGGTTTCTGAAAACGCGAAAAGTAGACCTACAGCATGATCCAGCAATCCCACTCCCGGGCATATATCTGTACAAAACTATAGCTCGTAAAGATACATGCACACCAGTGTTCATAGCAGCACTATTTACAACAGCCAAGACATGGAAGCAACCTAAGTGGCCATCGACAGATGAGTGGATAAAGAGTTATATATATATATATACATATATATATATATATATATATATATATATATATATATACAATGGACTATTACTCAGCCATAAAAATGAATGAAATAATGCCATTTGCAGCAACACGGATGGACCTAGAGATTATCATACTAAGTGAAGTTAAGTCAGACAGAGAAAGACAAGTGTCATATGATATCACTTATATATGGAACCTAAAGTATGATACAAATGAACTTACCTACAAAACAAAAACAGACACACAGACATAGAAAACAAACTTATGGTTACCAAAGGTGAAGTGGGGGGAGGCGGTATAAATTAGGAGTTTGGGCTTAGCAGATACAAGCTACTCTATACAAAAGAGATAAACAACAACGTCCTACTGTATAGCACAGGGAACTATATTCCATATCTTGTAATAAACAATAAGAAAAAAGAATATGAAAAAATATATATATGTAGAACTGAATCACTCAGCTGTACACCAGAAACATATTGTAAGTCAACTAAAATTTTAAAAAGCATCAACCCCATTGGGCTGATGAGATTAAATGAGTTAATATTTTCTAAATACTTATAACAGTACCTGGCACATATAGTACATATATTATTTGTAAGCCATCATTTATCATCATTACCATCATTATCTTTCACTTACTTCTAAGTTCCTTTGTGGTGTTTATGATTTGTTGATGAAAGGATTGCACATTTATACTTTGCCACTAGGGGTCTCTCTTGCATTTCGACCGACTGTGTCACTCTGCATATCAAGAAGGAGAAATCCTTCCTAGCTGCTTGGCTGCCAGCTGCTGCCAGGCTTCAGGAGGGTAGATTGCTGTTTTCAGTGCCCCAAACTCAGGCCCAAGCCTGGAGGTGAGTTTTGCTGTGACAACCTCTGTGGTAATTCCCCATTTGTCTCAATCAGCCTCCCCTTTAAGTCGGCCCCTAGGACAATTTCTTTTGCTTATTCTTCCCCGACCCAGGTTGCCTGAGCCTCCCTCCGCTTTCCATCCTGAACTACAGTCCACTCCTCAGAGGTGCGGAAGACTGAAAGGATGAAAAGCTAATCCTGATCCCACCCATCTTCTGGATGTTTGGACCTGAAAAGGAGAGGAATGGGTGGATTGGAAGGGGAGAATGGGCAACAGGGCTACCGATAACATAATAACCAAAATTTACGTCACCACGCACTTGATTTAGCACAGAGGTTCTCAAGCTTTGCTGCACCTTAGAGCCACCTGGGAGTTTTTAGAGCTCTCGATGCCCAGGCCACCTCCAGGGCCAATTACATCAGTCTCAGGGGCAGGACCAAGACATCCCAGGTATTGAAAGCCAGTGCAAGCACCTTGCTGCACCTTGCTACTCAGAATGTGGTCCCTGGACCGGCAGGTCAGTGTCATCTGACAGCTTGTTAGAAATGCAAAATCCCAAGCTCTACCTCAGACCTACCGAATCAGAATCTGCATTTTAACAAGACCACAGGTGATGAATAATATGCACATGGAATTTTGAGCAGCATTCTTCAGCATCCTATTTGTTAAACGTGGCTGCACCTTGGAATCGCCTGGGACGCTGGAAAATAACACTGATGCCTCGATTTAACCAACTCACTCAGCCACATCCTCATGTAAGTACCAGACCAAGCACAATAAAAACATACGAAGCACAATAAAAACCCAAACAACAATGACTGAACCAACAATTATTGATCACACACACATATTTACATACCAGCTTTTGCGCAACGTGCTGTTTTGTCACAAACTGGTGTTTTCAGAGTACGGGTTGGCAAACTACAGTCTGCAAGCCAAATGTGGGCCCCCAAGGGTTTCGATAAACAAAGTTTTACTGGAACACTGCTGCACCCAATCAATTACCCATTGTCTGTGGCTACATCCGCACTAGCACTACAACTGCAGAGTCAGCCATTGCAACAATGACCGTGTGGCCTGCAAAGC